GAGTCTGAGAGCTTCTGAGAACTGGACAGTGAATAAGGATGAGAGGAAAAGAATTGATGCCTTGGAGCTGTGGTGTTGGAGAAGAGCAATGAACATCCCATGAATGGCCAAGAGAACAAACAGATATGTTCTTGGAGAGGGACAAGCGGAATGTTCTTTGGAGGCAATAATGCTGAAGCCTTGTCTCACATACTTTGGACATACTGCTAGGAGGGGCTATTCCTTGATGTTGGGAAGGGTGGAAGGTTGGCAAAGAAGAGGAAGACCCTCAACCAGGTGGACTGACATGGTGACTGCTGCAATGGGCTGTTGTGTGTCAGGAAGTGTGAAGATAGCGCAGGATAGGACAGGGTTCAGATGTTTTGTTCATAGGGTCTCTATAAGTTGTACTCATACAACAACATGTACAGCAACAAGCAGGTGTCTGAAGTCCTAGTGGGTATTTATTCTCTGCCATTCATTCATTCATTTATTTTTCACTAATCATACTGGTTTTTTCTCCAATAATTCATGCACATTTTATAACATTAACTAATAACAGTAATTAACTGCAATGTCTGATCAACCCCTTAATTAACTGTATATGGTCTTTCCCTTCATACAATTTATCTATTTATTAATTTTCACTTTCTTTCCCTTCCCATTCTTAGTAGCCACCTAGGAATCATGAAAAATGTGTGTAAACCTCTCTCTGGCTTTTTATAACACTTGCCTTTTACCATAATTGTCCTTTTACGACAGACTTATGTCACTCTGCATAATTTCCTATAGATTCCATGCTATGCAGGGTTTCACCAATTCTTTATCATTCTTCAGTGTTGCATAACACTCTATTGTGTGAATGTACCCTAGTTTCTTTGGTTATTTGTCCACTAATGGACACCTGGGTTGTTTCCATCTTACTGTAAATAACACAGCAACAAGCACAGGTGTACATACATCTGTTTGTCCCACCACTCTTATTTCTGTTTCACTAATTTTTTAAAAGATTCAAAATGTTATCCTTGCCCAGAAATATTTTAAAAGATATAAAAGTTTTAAAAGGAAGTTATATGGTATATTTTCAATATGTAAACATGGTATTCATTCAAACAGCTTTTAAACCCAAGTTTAAAATGATTCACTATTTGTAAAGGTCTCTGTCAATATTAAAATTATAGACAGATGTCTGAAAATATTGTCTAAGCTAGCACAAGGGTAAATCCCCCTTTATGTGACTTTGGAACCTACAACTACACCCAAATAAAACACTCAAGCATTTATAACTAAGTACTCACTGATAATTGTTCTTATAGTTCTAAAAATATGGCAAATTTTTGGAATTATAAGAAACAATTCATATCAGAAATATCCCATTATTAATTTTAAAATACACCCAATACCTTATTTAATCCAGGGGTATATTTAAACTCCTGTTATATATTACATTTTACTTCTATCGATACAGTTTTAACACTCCTCAGAAATAAATAAATTTTAAAAATCCTGTTTGTATATTTCTAAAATATTAATTTAATCCTTGGTTTAGTTATAATCATAGTAGTAGTAAGTACTATTCATCGTTGTTTTATATATCTTTCTGCATTTTCATCTATGTCACCACTTTATTAATAACTCAATCTTTAAAAATAAGTTGTTGTTGTTGTTAAGTGCTGTAGTACACAAAAGAAAAAAAATACATTGTACCTATCGTCCAGGAAGAGTGCAAACGGTCATTACAAAGACAGAAGAGAAAAAAAGACCAAAATGTATGTCTGAAGAAACTCTGAAGATTGCACTGGAGTGCAGAGAAGCCAAAGCACAAGGAAGAATTCAAGATACTAAAGAGCTGAACAGAAGACTCCAAAAGGCAGCACGGGATGACAAAGCAAATATTACAATGAAATGTGCAAGGAGCTGGAGTCGGAAAATCAAAAGAGCCAAACTTGTTCAGCATTTCTTAAGCTCAAGGAACTGAAAACAAATTCAAACCTCGAGTTGCTATAATCAAGAATGCTTTAGGAACAATATTAAATGATCCAGAAGTATTAAAAGAAGATGGAAAGAATATATTGAGTCACTGTATTGAATGGAATTGGCAGACACAGAAGAATTTCATGAAACAACATATGAGCAAGAGCCGATGGTGATGAAGGAAGAAGTTCAAGCTGCTTTGAAGGAAATAGCAAAAAACAAGGCCCCAGGAATAGATGGTAAACCAATTGATATATTTCAGCTACCAGATGCTGCCCTGGACATGCTCACCAAGTTGTGCCAAGAAATCTGGAGAACAACCACTTGGCCAACTGACTGGAAGAGATCTATATTTGTTCTCATCCAAAAGAAGGGTGACCCAACAGAGTGTGGAAACTATAGAACAATAGCATTGATTTCACATGCAAGCAAGATTCAACTGAAGATTATCCAAAAATGACTGGAACAGCACATCAGCAGAGAACTGTCAGAAGTCCAGACTGGGTTTAGAAGGGGTCCGTGGTACTAGGGATATTGTAGCTGATGTTAGATGCATCTTAGCTGAAAGCAGGGAATACCAGAAGAATGTCTATCTGTGTTTCATTGATTATGCAAAGGCATTTGACTTTGTGGATCATAACAAACTGTGGCTGACTCTGAGAAGAATGGGAATCCCAGAATACTTGATTGTCCTAATGAGAAACCTATACCTGGACCAAGAGGCAGTCGTCAGAACAGAGCAGGGAAACACTGCATGGTTCAAAATTGGGAAAGAGGTACACGAGGGATGTGTCCTTTTCAACCTTCATGCAGAACAGATTATCCAAGAGGCTGGGCTCTATGAGGAGAAATGTGGTGTCAGGATTGGTGGAAGATCTATTAACAATCTGCCCTATGCAGATGACACAACCCTGCTTGCTGAAACAGAGAAGGACTACAGCCTTCAGTATGGACTGAGGCTCAATGTCAAGAAGACAAAGATTCTCACCACTGGACCAATTGGCAGCATCAGGATGGATGGTGAAGAGATTGAGATTGTTAACAACTTTAGTTTGCTTGGCTCCACAGTCAACACTCTTGGCACCAGCAGCCAGGAAATAGAAAAAAATGTATTGCCATGGGAAAGTCTGCTGTTGGGGACCTCTCCAGGGTACTAAAGTGCAATGGTGTCACTCTGGAGACTAAGGTGCACCTGATAAAGGCCATGGTCTTTGCAATCACTTGTTATGCATCAGAAAGTTGGACAATGACTAGGGAGGATAGAAGGAGAATTGATGCCTTTGAGCTGTGGTGCTGGAGAAGAGTATTGAATATACCATGGACTCCCAAGAAATACAGATTCATCCTGTAGAGAGTTGAACCAGGCTGCTCCTTGGAGGCAGGGATTTTGGGGCTTCATCTGACATATTAGGGACATGTTGTAAGGAGGGAGAGGTCCTTGGAGAGGGACATCATGCTTGGGAGGGTGGAGGGATGTCGCTGAAGGGGAAGACCCTCTATCAGGTGGACTGATTCAGTGACTGGGGTAATCAGGATGGGTGTGTCAGAGGCAGTGAGATTGGCAGAGCAGGGTTTAGGGCTGTTGTACACAGGGTCGCTATGAGTCACAAATGACTCAACAGCACATAACAACAACAACAACAACCTAATCATTACTTATATAGTGACTAGATTATCCAATCTGCCTAAAATCAGGATTCATAGGTATTTAGTAAAGAATTTAACCTTGTCCAAAAGGAGATTTGTTTTCTGTTCTCAAATCCTGGAGGTAACCTCTAGGTCCTTGTAACTTTACACATGCGTATCTTTTCATAGGGCCTTTCAGCCTCACCAGACATTCTAACAATATAAACTAGGGTGAAGGCTCTGGGTCATCTGGCATCAGCTTGACCTCTAGAAAGGCTGGAGACAGATCAACAACCACAGGCAGTCAGCTATACCTGCATGATGGTGGCCTCGGACCTCTGGCTCACAAGGTGTAGGAGGCCCCCTAATTGGTAAGACCTTGTGTCTATTGTCATGGGAAAGCACACTGTCCCCGACTGCACAGGAAGAGGATAACTAGAAACTGCACAGGGATACTTCCTGGACTTTACTATATGTGCCACTTCCCTTGGCTGGTTTTAATCTGCATCCTTTAGTTATAATAAACCACAACCATGAGTATAAGTTTTCAATGAGTTCTCAGAGTCCTTTTGTGAATTACTGAAGCTAAAAGTAGTGTTAGAGAACCTTAAGTGTGCAGTTTTGTGGACTGGGCACCCTAATTTTACAATGAGCTAACAAAATATGTGAATGTACTTGACCAAGAAGTTTTGTTCCCAAAACTTTATAATAATTATAATAATCTGAATCCTGAATGCTTAAGACCAGACACAACTGATGAATATAAGTATAGGAAAAGCAAGAAGGTAGATTCTCTGGGGAAGAGGGTTTGTCGTTTGTGCACTGTCTCTACACTCTACCTTTCTTCAACTATTAAAATAGATATTGAATGCTTATTACATACAAGGCACTGAGAAAGGTCACATAAGGAAATAAGAGTCAAATAGTTGTGCTTTTCTAAGGCTTACCCTCTTCTCAATAAAATTCTAACACTAACTCTTGGTTACACTCTAACCTGCCAATCTTAATCTAAAGAAAGGGGAGTGATAAATAAGCTTATAAAAGCAAAAATCGGTAAAAAAAAATTAGCCCTGCAGCAGTTAGCAGGTTGGGGATTATTAAATCCTGCTCTAAGAGTTAAATAAAGCTTGCTGGACTTGTCACAGCTTCTTCCTTTCTTCTACGATCGATTTCTACAATTCCTAAATGCTTCAAACTTTGCTACACCTGCTGCAGACCAGTAACCACAGTAGCTGTAAGTACTTAATTCTTTATCAATGAAAACTTTTTATTTTATATCATAAAAAATCACTATGGTATAATTAAGATAGTCCTGACATGACTAAATTATTATAAACTTGATTCAAATATAATTTTTCAAAAATATTAATATTTAATAGCAAAGAAAAGCAGCCATAATCAACTCTAGAACATAAACATACCTGCATGGTCCTTCTTTTAGTTAATGTCACTTGAAAATTCTTCCACTCCCAACGCTGCTCTACTACATGTGCGAAAATCACATGCCCATTTCCACAGGCTCCAGCGATCTGTGTGCCATCAACTGACCAGGCGATGTTAAATATGCTGCCCGTGTTCGGCTTTTCTAAGGCATATGACCACTGGAGAAGAAAGAGGATGAGGAAAAACTGTTCAAAAATAAAGACAAAGCAACAAAGTAAGTGTTAAATTGGGAATATGTTATTAGGACACCTTTCCAAAGAATGCCTTTTCGTTCTGGAATTACGAAAATATTTTAAATAACATTATGCTGTAATGAAATGGAAGATAACCGACGTATTTTTAAAGGACACAGCTGTTGCTGTGTACCATCTAGGTGGACTGGACCCTCCAGTAGCTGACCCTTTCTGAGGCAGTTAATCATATGGGTGGGGACGGCCCTTCCTTTTTCAGAGCAGCTGGTGGATTCGAAACATGTTCCTTCAGGAATGAAGTGCAGCTTCTTACCACGAGGACACCAGAGCTCCCTACACTTGAGAATACTATAATAAAACAATATATTAAGTCTCTCAAAATTGGCAAAATGACTTTCTTGCTGTTAAGAGAATTAATTTGACCTGCATTTCAATTGAAATTCTTATTTATTCACATTTTTACTACTTTTAAGTAATAATACTGATCAGGTACCACACAAATATTCTACCTAAAACACTAAGGTGTCCAGTTATTCATTCTTAAGGCTCTCTATAGTTAGTACCTCTACCCAAAACTTTCTCAACAACTTACTTCAAGAACATAGATAAAAACAGAAAATATTTAGTTTCACAAAATAACACCTCTGAAAAATGCACAAAGTCCACTGTAGTCTCTTTGAACATGTGTTAGAGGAGAATTGCCCTCGGGTTCCATGTTTTTAAGGGGAGCCCCCTGTCTCCATTTTGGTGATTGGGTGGCATAGCAGGAATCTGTAAGATGGGCCTGCTTGTTCTGGTTGAGGGTTGGGTGGAATGTTTCGTGGTTTAAGTCTCTCGTTTAGTGTCAACAAGGCATCATTTTATTTAAAAGTTGGTTGGGCCCTCAGGCCTCATGTTATTATATTTTGGAGGAGCATTCTTCCAAGTTGTATAGTATTCTTCTGTCAATTTGCTGTACTGAGGTAATTTGGATTTGCTGTGATGCTGAACCTTGTGCCCTTAGGGTTACCCATGGTAGACAGTCACAGGAGTGGCATCTACTTCCTAAACAACATGCCTCTGGAAACTCTATGAACTTAGAGAAATGATGGTAGTTACAGAAAGGCTTCAGGCCTTTTGTTCATAGGGTCTCTCTGAGTTGTGCTCGACTTGATAGCAATAAACAACAACAATCTCTTTGGCAGCCTAGTGGCAAGAAGCTGCACTGCAATCGCAAAAGCATGTGCTTCAAGGCCACTTTGAAACAGCTGCTTCAAAGGGGAAGGATAAGCAATCTTCTGCTCTTCAATTCGGCTATGGTTTGGCTCCCACTTGATAGTACACAACAACAGCAATCTTTGTGGAAATGGATTACCAGGCTTCTCCTGTAGGACGCTAGTTGCAGAGTTCAAATCATCATGCTCTGCATTAAGAGTTATGTACTTAAACATTTTTGTCACAAGGAGAACTTAACATCTAACATATCCTAAGCCATGTGACCTTAGGCTAACTACTATTTACTATATATTTCTTTCTCTTATAATGTTGTATGGTATAACCTCTCCTTTTCCTAATTGTCATCCAGTAAACTGACTGCTGGCAACTTCACAGGGTTTTCAAATGCTGATGTTTAGAAGCAGATTACTAGGTCTTATTTCCCACCTGACCCTGGGTGGACTTGAATTTCTAATTTTTAGGTTAGCAGTTGAGCTTCTGAACCTTTGCACCACCTAGGTACTCTTACTCTGTCCTAAACCCTATTTATCTCTTTGTAAATCTAATTCAGAGATAATAATAAACATCAGCTAGCAGAAAAGTGTGTGTGTGTTTATGTGGATAAGACAGTGAGGAAAAACAGGCTTTGTAAAATGATCTTATACGCACTTTCTTTTGTTTTTCAGATACAACATACATATTTGCTTGAAGGAAGACTTATTTGACAAAATTTATATACATTATCTTCCTATTCTTCCAAACAAAGTCTATTATCAAATCAAATGTGAACCAAAGATACTGCTGCCGAGTTTGTTCCAACTCAGAGCAACCTTTCTTCCAAGAGGTTTCCAAGGCTGTACGTCCTTCCGGGTGAAACGAGCCATCTTTCACACTGAGAGCAGCTTGGGGATTCAGAATGTGGACCTTTCAGTTAGCAGCCCAGTGTTATGCACAACACCACCAGTCAATTTTTCTGGCTCTTGTTAGTCCAGAGTGGGCAATTACTTTTGCTTTATATGATCACTCGTTTTGACAGCGACTTTAGGGAAGATAGAAAAAAGTTGACTAAGTGACAAGAATTTTATGTCAATAAAATTCATAAGTAGAATTAAAATGCTGAAGACTCTCACTATTTTTTAATATTTTTTTTTCACATCTGCCCCCCGCCATCAGACCCCTAACTACTCCTAATGGCTACAACTCACTACCACTAAGTTAGAACCAACTCACAGCTGACCCTCCAGCCCATGTTCTGAAGCTATAAACAGCACAAGAGAACACTACCCTCCTTTATCCACAAAGCTGTTGGCAAACTGGAACCTTTCCATCAGCAGTGCAATTACCAAGGTTCCACCAGCACTACTGTAATAAGGAACCTATAAGGAAGTTATGCAAGGAGAAGCTAAAGAACAAACCATGAGGTTTTGCTCCATTATCAATAATGAAAATGTTAGAACCTTCTTTTTATGAATCAAAAAGATTAAGAAATCAATTTCTATATATAGTAGGGAGCACTGGGGGCTTAGTGGTAAAGAGTTACTCTGCCAATCCAAAGGCAAGCAGTTCAAAGCCAGCAGATGCTCAGAGGGAGAAAGATGAGGAGTCTCCTTCCATGCAATTTCCCACTGAAAACCCACTGAACGGTCTACGATGAGCTGGTTCTAACTCAATGGTACACAACAACAACAACAACATCATATATATTACTTAGACATCCTCTTTCAAGAAATAAGTACAAAAGACTTGAAAGTACAAAAGCAAATGTATTTTGCTTCTAGAAATGAATTGAAATTAATTTATTAGTGTTCACAAAACTAAACAAGAATTTTAATTAATTATCTATGAATACTGTTTTCCCATAAAGATTAAAAGCAATACCACAAAACTAAAGGGGAGTGTAAAAAATAGTAAGTAGACAAAAATGTGTAAGAACAAAAAAATTCCATTTTTAAGTATATAATATTAATATCTTGGGTTATGGTTATAAGACACTTCTTTTTAAATCTAGCCTGTTCTGATGATGTGAAGTAAGAAACATAGCTTTATATTTTCAAACTATTTAGGGACAGTTTTGAAACAGTTAAAAATACAAATCAGACAAATAAATGTCCTATTATATTTAAACTGAAAATTATTTACTTAAGAACTTATAGGTACATGATCCAAACTAGCATGAAAAATTAGAAATATTTAGCTAATATCTTTATAAATTACTCTAATTTTTTTCAGTACACATGAATAAAAATAAACTCTACATTAGGAAACTTATCCTTGAAGACAAATTTTAAGAATGATTTTATGACAGCCAAGTTACACTACTAATTTAGATTTTTTTTATTCATTAATATTTATTCTCTCTCTAATCCCATTCCTAGCTACCAGCTCAAAATGATTCTGTGCATAAGCCTTTCATTAGCTTCTTAAAATAGTGGTCTTGAACACGGTTCAAATCCACCAGATGCTCTGCCGGAGAAGGAGGCGCAATATCCTCCTGTACCAGTCAGATCTGATTTGACGGTACACGCACACAAAATTAAAAAAATTTAAAAAAAAATAGTGGTCTTGTACAATATTTATCCTTTTGGGTTTTTTTTTATTTTCTTACAAAATTTATTTACAAAATTTGAATACACTGCTTTTAAGAACAAATTATTTTTTAAAAAAAAGAACAAATTATTTCCATTTCCCTCACCACGCCCCCATCAAATTGTACAACCTCATGATTAATCTCCACCTCCCCTTGCACATCCTCCTCCCTCTGCTTCCACCCTATCCCATCCCTTTGGATCCTTATACTCACTCTACAATAAAGGTTCTATACAATATTTATCCTTGTGGGACTGAGTTAGTTCACTCTCGACCAAGTTAGGTAACAATTTACAAAATCATTGCTCCTTTGTGCTGCATAGTGTAAATGTACCATAATTTCTCAATGTTTATCCTTTTTTTTATTTTTGTGTGAGTGTACCATCAAATCAGATCTGAGTGGTACAGGAGGAGATTGTCCCTCCTTTTCCCGGCAGAGCAACTGGTGGATTCGAACCCATGCCTCTGGGATTGTAGTTGCAGCTCCTTGTCACTAGGCCACCAGAGCTCCCCAATGTTTATCCTTTTGTGACTGACTTATTTCACTTGGAATAACATCCTCTAGATTTATTCATTATGCATTCTTTGATTAATTGTTTCTTGTTCTTTAGTATTGCATAGTACTCTACTGTGTTTATGTACCCCAATCCTTTATACATTTATCTATTAATGATCTCTGATGGCTGGCTCTGTGGTAAAAAATTACACTGCCAACCTAAAGTCACGTAGATCAAATCCACTAGCGGCTCCAAATGAGAAAGATGGGCAGTCTCCTCTTACATGACTCACAGCCCCAGAAAACCTACTAGAGTGTCAGATATGAGTCTGTTCCATATTAATAGGATGCAACAACATAATCAGGTGAGATCCATGTGTATAGCCTGTGTTTATGTTTCTTATAAAAGGTATTTGCAATGAATAAATCATTGAATGTGCAGAACTCTATCATTCTATCTCCAGCCTGATTTCTCTCACCGAGCCCATATTTTCCAGCTACTGAACCTTCTTCTCTCTTCCCAACTTTTGCCTTCCAGTCGCCCATTATTATCAATGCATCTTGATTGCATGTTTGATCAACTTCTCACTGCAAAACTTGGTAGAAATCTTCTATTTCTTCCTCTTTGGCTCTAGTTGTTGGTGCATATATTTGAATGATACTGGTATTCACTGGACTTCCTTGTATGCGT